TGCATACGACTAACTCTTTACCATTTTCAGGAAAGATCAAATCAACAAACACCGTTGACTATGTACGTGACCTGGTAGTCTTCTCAAAAAGCTACGTCCAACAAAGGGCTATTTCAGCATTTTCCTCAGAAAGATGTTCTCAAAAGACCTTTGCTGGTTCAGTCGGATCGACACTAAGATCTCTCTGATTTCTATTCTAGTTGAAAATATTCCAAGACTTTTGTATGGTTCAGTTGAATCGATACTAAGATTCTTCTGATTTCCATTCCGATCAAAGTTAATCCAATACCTTCTCTGGTTCAGTTTGATCGACACTAAGGTCTCTATGATTTCTATTCCAATTGAAGATATTCTAAGACTTTTGTCTAGTTTAGTTGAATCGATACTAGGATTCTTCTGATTTCCATTCCAGTCAAAGTTAATTCAAGACCTTCTCTGGTTCAGTTAGATCGACACTAAGATCTCTCTGATTTTTATTCCAGTTAAATATATTCCAAGACTTTTGTCTGGTTCCATTGAATCGATACTAAGATTTTTCTGATTTCTGTTCCAGTCAAAGTTAATTCAAGACCTTCCTCTGGTTCAACTAAATCGATACCAAGATTTTCTTGATTTCTATTCCAGTTGAAGACAACTCAAGACCTTTCTCTGGTTCAGTTAAATCGACACTAAGATTTTGTTGATTTCTATTCCAGTTAAAGAAACTGCAAAGCCTGGAGTCTGACTAAATAGCAGTTAAATTCACATTTCCCCAGTAAGTCACTGTGAAGCTTGGAATACGACCAGATAGCAGTCAGCCTTATTATCTTCAACAAGTCACTGTGAAGCCTGGATCCTGACTAGATAGCAGTTCACTCCCATCTCTTTAATCAAGAGATGACTCCCTAGTAAAGTAATGGACAACTGAAGCTCCTAAACTCTATTTCCTAAAACAAAGACCAACATTCCTCAACGGAGTCCTCCTCAACAACAGGAATAGGGATTCCCGCAAAAGAATATCTCATAAAATCAACATTATTCTAGATGGCATCTTTAAGCCCATCTCCGACGACTCTCCGTCATATTCTCTAGATGGCATCTTTAAGCCCATATCCGAAGACTCTCCAGGTGACATCTTTAAGCCCATATCTGATGATCTCTCAGTCACCTTCTCAAAATGGCATCTGTAAGTCCATTCCTGACATCATCAATCAACGACGTTACTTCATGCGAGTGCAAATTTCTGGGCACTCTAGTGTTTAATCGTCTTCCAACTTCAGGTCACGAAAGGCAGACCACCAATCAACATCCTCAAGTTTAAGAAGATTAAACAGGGGCAGCTGTTGTACCCCAAAATTTTCCCTCTCATTTCACTCAAGACATGCTCATTAAGGTTCTCAATTTGCTCAAGGATGACCAAGAATTGACAAGACAAATTCTTCCACTAAGGCAATAAACCTCAAACTAGGGTTTCAATTTTAAGCAAAATATGTGAGTCCCAAGGATCCAAAATATTCTCCATTGTCCTAATATGTCTTCAAGATCATCCATGCCAAATTTCATGCCTTGAACAACAAGTTTGCTCAGTTAACTGCTCAAATGCTTGGAAATTAAATATACTAGGTCAAAAGTCAATTGTTGCCCAAGTACAGTCAAACTTCAAGATTTTTGGTCAACCCAAATATTTTTAAGTGATATCCATAATTTGATAAAGGGTTGATAATGATTCCTCAAGAAATGCTCCTAACTCATCAAAAGTCAAAAATGGCAAATTAGGGTTTCTATAGGAAAAGTCAACCAGACTTTGACCAGGCATAACTTTCTCATATTTTATCAAAATGTTTTCCACAAAGGCTCATTTTGAAGAGAATCCAATTCCCTATAACTTCTCTTCAGCCCCCAAGTTCAAAAAATGCCCCAATCAAAAGATACAAGCTAATACATTATAGGTCCTTTCAAAAGGTCAACAAAAACACCTTTTGGGTCAAAGCTCCTTACATGAACATGGAAGATCCAATTGAGATAAAACCAAAAGGGTTGTTTAGAAGACATCCTAAGATCTCTAAAAAGCCAAAAAACACCCTCTTAGGGTTAAAATTCAGAGAGATATGCATTGCTAAAGTTGACCATTTTTTGGAAAAATGCATGAAGCCAATATTGACCAAACTTGAATTTTTTACAAATGGCCCCATGTTTTCATGCTTGAAACTTGTTCTTAACATGGCCCACGACCTCTGAGATCACTCATACATTATCTCATTAATTTTATTATTTATTTTTATTTTCTATTCATTAAAATTAAAATAAAATAAATAAATAATGGAAATCATGTAAGATATGATTTGAGAATCTTTTTCTCACCAAATAAGGGATGAGATAGGCTGACATGTCAAAGAAAAATGCATGGGACAAAAGGAGAAAGAGATTTTCTTGAAATAGAAAGTTTTGATACAAATTAAAAACTCATATCCTTGTCATCAAACCATGGAGATTTTGCACGAATTTGTTAACCTAATTGCTAGCATATATAAACAGAAAAGATTGAGAGCAAGATGGGATGCACATCTGCCTCTATAGCAAGCACAAAAATTCTCAAAACTTTCAAAAAACCCTAGAAGCTTCAAACCCTATTCTTCAGTCATGCTTAAGGAATTTCAAGTCCAACATCACTCTCCTGAGGTTGCCAGGGGTTGGTACCATTCCTAGTTCACCATAAATCAGCGCCAGAACCCCCTCTTGAAGAAGCTCCGGTTGGTAAGTGGGTAAGTTGTAATTTTTTAGATTTATGATGATTTCAATTGTTGTAAGCATGCTAAAATAGATCATACTCATCATTGAAAATGTTTTAATTATTTTACATGGAAGCTTTAGTGCAGAAACAACATCGTGCCATTGTTAGGACATAAAGTTTTTGAAGCTTCGTATCTCACGATACAAGCCTTTTAAGAAAAAACAGCCATGCCATTGGATTCACAAGGTCTTATTTAGTCCAGTAGGGTTATTTTCTTGTTGGTTTTCATTGAATTTCATAGGATTGAATTTTTGGGCAACCGGAGCCACCGCCCAAGGTGGTTTGACCGACCAAGGACTCTACATGGCATAATGTGTTTCTCTGATTGGTTCGTTCAAATAACAGGGTCCCACCCTGCGCGCGTGCTTTGATTTGTTTGACCTTTAACATTTGATTTATATTATATGTTTATTAATGTGATTATGTTACCGGATGTATATCTCTCCCAACGGTTGAGACAACGCATGTTAAGGCTTTATGGTGTGCAAGGGCAGGGGTTTGATCCCTACATCTTGCATAATATTTTTCTGAATTGTTCATTGTAGATTCAGTGGTTCCACACCAAGGGTGCATACCAGGCACTCTATCATCATCACCATCAGATCCAGGCAACGCCTAATCCAACGCTCCATATCTGAGAGCTCATGATAGACCTCAAAGGGGCCAACAACACTGAACCACACGCTGGCATTAAACTTGCTTGTTTTGGGCCTAACAAATTCCTGAGGCACACCCCCATTCTACTTCATACCTCAGGCCCATTTTCTATTTTCTTTACTTCTTTTATATTTTATTTCACTGTTTTATGTTTTAAAAACCAAATTTATTTTAATCATAAAATCATAAAAATCAGAAAATCACAAAAAATAATAGACTTAGGTTTTTCTAATTTAATTTAATTTTTGGTAAATAAATTAATTTGATTTAATTATTTTGTCTTATTTCATTAATTAGAGATTAGGTTAAATTTCAAATCTTTTTTTCATAAAAATACCAAAAATATTTTTAATGGGCAATTAGACTTTTAGGGTTTCAAACGTAGGTCAGTCTTAATTTTTGCGGGTTATCATTTTTCATACAATTATTTCTTATTATGTAAGTGTGCCTGGTTTGTAATAGTTTAATTAAGTTTTTCAATTTCCGCACTTTACTTTTCAGTCATTATTTATGTAACTACACCAAAGCCTTGTAATAGCTGTAAGAACTTTATTTCTCGCCTTTATATTTCTTATATGATTGTATATAAATTGTTAGTAAATTAGGCGTGCATGACAAGATTAAATCAATTAATCATTAGGTCACTAACTTCAAGATAAATATCTGAAAAAAACACACTGTTGCACACTTGCACCCCTAGGGTATACCTCACTTGTTGCCTTCAGAAGTGGTCATGTCACTCGAACGTAGGGATATCTTAGCAAAGACCCTCAACTTAAAAGTCATCATAAAGATCATGGTCCCTTAATGTCCCTCGAGTTTCCTACAAGAAATGATCTTGTCCCTCGATGTTGCCTACATGATGATAGTCCCTTCGAAATGCTAAGGTATCCTTACATGTTGCCTTCAATGACCATAAACGTCCCTTTCGATAATCCCTCAACATCCAACGATAGGGCTACCTACTCACTAATAGTGGGATAACACTATCTAAAGGGTTGGAGGAAAAGAACATCCTTTTTCGAGTAGGTAGATAGTTCTTAAGTACTTGCTCAAATCTAATTCCTTTTCACACTTTCACACTTTCAAACTCCTTTTCAAAAATGCTTTATCACACTCTTGAGGGCTGATACAAGAGTTATCATAAAGCAAACAAAATATTTGAAAACACCCAAACACGAAAACAGTTTTAAAAAATAAGCAATTACCTAAGAGCCTGTGGAAAACCACAGATGGAAAGGGTGCTAACACCTTCCATTTCCATAATCTACCCCCTTACTCGGAAAAATCTCGAAAAAAGGTCTTTTTCTGTTCTTTTCACCCTTTCCTTTGTTGGATAAAAGAAAAGTCGGTGGCGAGTCTTGGTTACCGCGACATTTGCGAATACAAAATGCAAACTAGTATTAACAGTCGGTTCTGCCACCGTATCACATGACTCACATTGCAGAGGGAGATGCTTCTGGGGAGTTGACTCCCTTTATAAAGATACCAAACATGTTCTCTTGAGGAGGCTGCTGCTATAGTCTCAACTTCAAATTTATCCTTATTCCTAAATCTCCCTAAGAGGGATAAGATGGAAATGGCTTCTAATATTGCTCACAACATATTCAAAGAGGCTTATATATTTTCTCTCGTCTTTGTTAGACGTGGTGATGTTTTGGCCATAAGCAGTCCTTTCAAGGAGAGGGATACATGGAAAGAAAAGGCTGGAGCTATGGAGCTGAATTGCACCAATCTTCAGAAGGAGCTCCTTTCATCGAAAGAGGAGGTTACTTATGCTAATTATTTGCGGGAGACTATGAAAGTGCATAACTCTCCCTCTACTATATAGACTAAACTGATCAAGCTCAAAGGTGCTCTCAAAGGTGCATAACAGTGGTATAAGGATGATTTTAAATCTCTTGAGGAGAAAGTTTGTCAATTGGAAGAGTAGTAGGAATATTTAGAGGCCCTTAAAATTCTTAAGGTAGAGGTAGTCAATCTAAGTCAAGCCCTTCATAATGCTCTTCAGAATATTATGTAGGACATGCTCAGAATCTGAGAACGAGTGATGGAACAAGAGAGGAAGCTATTCTTGATGCTGAAATTTTTGCCGAGGAGTTAGATCCATTTAAGTCCTCTTCTAGTATATTGATTTGTGTATATATATAATGCATTTGGCAATTAATTTATGCTCTCGGAAGATGACCGTGATCGGATAAGTCTATGTCATGTAATTATACTTTAAATAGTGCTCGGTGTTACAGATGACCGTTCCCCTACCAAGAGTATGATCCTCGTCCCTTCCTCTGAGTCTTGTATTGGATCGAAGGGGATGCCTTCAGGCTCCACCACTTGCTCCCATGGACTGGCTAGATCCGAGGGGGGAGGGTGCGCCAGCTATGCATAAGTGTGTTTAATAGGCATCAGATACGAGGTGTGTGTTAAGACATATATGAATCGTAAAAGTGCATTAAGTTTGTATTGGGTAAGTAGTGAACTAAAAATACGTGTAACCCATATCGGAATCAAATAAGTGTGTTTAGTTCGTATCAAAAACATATTCATAAGCTTTATCTTTGCTGGTCAATTTTCGCTGGACCCTCAGGAGAGCGTCTCGCGGTATCTTCAAGATGTACCCTAGTACTAGATGGGTGCCCGTGTTAACTACAAATTTGTGGCACCTGTGTTCAATTAAATGAAAATTTGCGGTATCCTTCTAATGATGACTCTGCATTGACCTCATCAGTGGAAGAAATCATGGTTGTACTATGGTCGTCCGATGGATTGTGAGGCTTATGTAGGCTTGCATGAAATTTTCCTTCAGACTTCGACGCAAACTTAGAGCTAGATCTAAGATCCTTTCTTCTCCAATTCTGTTTATTTCTCGTAGAAGCCAAGGATCTTCGCATAGAGGATCGTGAATTAGAGGATTATTTATTGCCTCAGGTTCCATGGATATCGACGTTCACTTTTAAGCGCTCCTCAATTTGGAGATTGAAGGGGATCACGAACAATTAAGCTGATAAGTGAATGCCATTCGTGGAGGCTATTGAAATTGGAAATTAAATGTGTTTTGAATTTGTCACCCTAAGAAGGCTACCAACTGGTGAGTCGAAATATTGGCTCTGACTCGTGAGATTTTAGATATAAAGTTTTTGAGCTTGTTCAATGGTGTTTGCAAAGCGAATCATGATTTTTGTGGAATTGCAGGTGTAAGACCTGTAATTTTAAAATAAATAAATATTATCAGAATATAGTATATTCACACCTCTATAATATTATATTATGATCAGATATAAAATTAAATAATATTTATCTCAGTAAATTTAAGTTATGCTCAAAATATTATATGATGTTTTATTTCATTAGTGGTTCACGATAAAAATTTACTAAAAATTTTGATTTCAGTCTCTCAAGAGTCTTCATAATAGAAGAAAAATTGTCAACATTATCTGGACTCTGAGAAGTTTCTTCCACACTTTTCTCAGCTATCAATCTAGTTGGTTCCTCAATATCTTTTTTTGCGACAACTATCTCAACTGCTTTTTGAGCTTTTAGAGCCCTGTATGTTAGAATATAGTTTGGTTATACATCTTAGTAATAGTTTTTATGATAACAAATTCTTGATATAAAAGAACAATTATACACTCTAATAAATTATTTAAATATGCAGGGAAGTTCTCATAAAGAAGCATAGAAGTTGACAATAAATTTGCGCTAAGAAGATCTGATAAGAATATCTTTACAAACTTAATTAAAGTATCACGCTCAATAGAAGAAGTTCCAATGTTATAAACTTCTGAAGCACCAAATCTACAAGCTAAAATCTGATGAAGCAAAACTCTGATGATCTAAAGTTTCAACGTTAATATTCTTATTCTGATCAGTTTTCAAATAAGCAAAGTTTTGATGTTTTACAATTTATTCATTACTAATCAAAGAGTAACAGCCGATACCAGACAAGATCTATATTTTTGGAAAGTGCATTAACAACATTTTATCAACTTTCCAAAACCATCTTCTCATGTCTCAAATGGATCTAAAGAGCTTCGCCTATATAAAAGAGTTCTTGAAGGGTGATCAAATAACACTTGCGAATACAATATAAATATTCAAAAAACTCTTTTATCTATTATATTGTTCAATGTGCTTTAACATTGTGTAAACATCACAGTCGTGATATAGTTTATTAGAAACACTCTTGTACACATTTTTTATTTAAATTTTGTAATTCCTTGAGAAATCAAGTTGCGGTTTAGTCTCAAGAAGACATTGACAGTAGTCTTTATGATTTGTAATCAATGTTTTAATTAGTGGATTAAGACCTCGATTGAGAGAGGAAAAATCAACTTGGTGGGTGGACTGAAGTAGTTTGAGTTCAAATGAACCAAGATAGATAAATGTGTCATACTGTTTTTAATTTTGAAAACCCCAATTCAAACCCCCCTTTCTTGTGTTTTTCTATCCTTCAATTGGTACCATAGCTCCTAGTTCTGGGTGCTAACACTTAATTGTGCCAGAAACAGATCCTAGCAAGAAAAACACTATGGTGGAACCAGTTCAGAACAACAACAATGATAACTATGATGATAAAGACAAAATCTGCGGCATACCCCCAATGTTTGACAATGAAAATTTCGATTACTGGAAAGACAAGATCAAAAGTTTCTTTCTAGCTCATGATGTTGATCTCTGGGATATGGTGATTGATGATTACATTCATCCTAGTGATGAAAACGGTCAGATGATTGATAGAAAGAAAATGACAAATCAATAAATGAAAGAGTTAATAAATCATCACAAGGCCAGAACGACTCTCTTATGTTCCATTTCATACACCGAGTATAAGAAGATAACAAATAGAGTTTCTTTTAAAAACATGTTTGACTCTCTGAGAATGATGCATGAAGGAAACACACAAGTCAAAGACACCAAAGCTCTTGCACTCATCTAGAAATACGAAGCTTTAAAGATGGAAGAAGATGAAACAGTTGAGATAATGTTCTCAAAATTTCAAATTCTGGTTGCTTGATTAAAAGTTCTAGATAAAGGGTATTCAATAGCAGATCATGTAAATAAAATCATCAAAATCTTACCAAAGAAATGGAGACCCATGGTCACAGCGTTAAAGCTTACCAAAGATCTAAACAAAATATCTCTTAAAGAACTTATCAGTTCCTTGAGAAGTTACGAGATAGAACTAGAAGAAGATGAACCCCAGAAGAAAGGTAAGTCTCTTGCTCTTAAATCTAATAAAAAATATGAAACTAAAGCCTTTCAGGCAGAAGAAGAAAGCTCTAGAGGGTCCTCATAAGAAGAAGAAAAACTATCTCTTCTCTCTAGAAGGGTCCAACAATTATGGAAGCACAAACAAAATAAATTTAGAAATCCTAGGAGATCAAGCGGTTATTCTGAATCATCCTTTGGCTACAAAAAGTCAAGAAACAAAGACGTTGTTTCTTACAAATGCAAGGAACCCAGTCACTACAAAATCGATTGTCCTAAACTCAGAAAGAAAAGCCAAAGAAGAGATTTAAAAAAGAGAAAAATAAAATTCATATGGCTACTTGGGATGAATCACAATATTTTGAAGCAGAATCAACATCAGAAGATGAACGTGCCAATATCTCTTTAATGGCCAACATATCAAATGACACTAATTCATCTTAATCATAATCAGACTCAGAAGCAGAAGAGGTATTCTCTAACTTTTCTAGATCTCAATTAGAAGATAGTCTGTTAGAAATTCTTGAAAAATATCAGCAACTTCAATTAAATACAGGAACCTGAAACATGGTCTAGTATCTGACTCTGAAGAAACTAGGAAACTAAAAGGAGAAATTTTATAGCTAAAATAAACCTTCTCTAAACTTAAAAATGAAAATTCTATTATTAAAAAATAAGTTACAAAAAGCTCAGAAAGAATTTGTCTCATAAATTTCAACTAGTTCTGATAGCATCATAAAAGAATATGATTAAATTTTTCAAAAATTTCTAGCTAAAAACATAGATATAAGCAAGATGGCTTCAATGATCTATGGAGTTAGCAGAAACAACAGAAAAGGCATAGGATGTATGAAACAAAACAGAGAAGAACCATATCAACCAAAGAAAGTTGATGATATGGTCATAAAACACACACCTTTAAACTCACATTTCACATATGGACACACACATGACATAAAATATACTAGTTAATCTTACTCTGCGAATTCTCTTGTGAAACCAAAATTTAGTCAGAATTTTGGATACTCTAAAAAATGAGGATTCAAAAAGATATGGGTACCAAAGGATAAAATCATCTATGTTGTAGATGTATTTAACAATAAAGTTGAAACACCAGTCTTGGTACCTGGACTCTGGATGCTATCGACACATGATGGTAAGAAAGCATATGTTCCAAAGCATGGAACTTAAATTTGGAGGATACATAGGTTTCAGAGGAAATCAGAAAGGAAAGATTATTAGCTCTAGAACCATTGGATACTCTGAATGTTCAAAAGGTTATAGAGTATATAACATAGCAACACAAATTATGGAAGATTCTATTAGTATCAAATTTCATGATAAGGTTGGCTCTCAAAAGTTAAAGCAGGGTGAATCTTTTGCAGATATAGAAGTTCGAATTACAGATCTTCAGAAAAAAAACTTTCAGAACTTCTGCCAAATATAGAAGAAGACATCATAAATATTACAATAACTTCTGAAGAATCCATTTGTTTTACCCAAAAAATTTGCCCACTCATTTCATCAATATTTCTCATCACAAGACTCTTAGAATTCAGTATCAAGTTAGGGTTTGCTCTGCTCAAGACACCTCCTTGCACTGTTGACCCAAATTAGGGTTTG